ATTAGCCCAGACATCGTAAAGTCATTTGCACCTGCATTAGCAGTCGGGCGGGGTGTCCTCCTCTGCTGCCAACTGATCTGCCAGTTCGCAGGCACAAACCTACATGTAGTTAGTTGTAATGCATTTTCTAGCAAAGTGTCTGACCTATGAGACCATCCCGTGCACAGCTAGAGATTGTTGTTGTTGTTGTTGTTGTTTAGGTTTATAGGCGTTGATGATTCAGGAGTGAATATTTACATGAGAGAGTTAGGCTTGGTTCAACTCGTGAATATGTGTTGGGGTTGCTCAGCGCAAAAAATAAATCACGCAAACATAAAAGCGTAATTTACAGTACTTCTTGTCATTCTAAAACTACAAACTTCTATAAAAACATGAATATAACTGTACTATTTCCATAAATTCATTAGAGAAATACATGTAGCTTTCTTGGCATACCCATTCCAGTTTAGGAATCAATGTCATGTAGTGTCCTTACATGATGGAAACTGTCAAAAGATTTGATGTCAGTTTTGAACAGGAAAAGGAATTTCCTGGTTTTCATCGAGTATGTGTATTACTTCCTCACAGGATATTTCAGCTTTTAGCTTGAGACCTGTTAAAGGTAGTGTATCCCTTTTGCAACCAACATCAACTTCTGTAGAACTATATGCAGGAATTATGATTATGTATTAAACATAAACGTATGTCCTATCTGTGGAATTTAAACACTAGCATTGTCCAAGTATTCAAATTATGCATGGAAACTTGTTTACTTTCTAGACTTCAGAATCAATTGAGTGACTGACTGACTCCATTATTTCTTTGGTAAAAACATACATAAAGTGAGCTGTAAAGTGTACAACTGTACATGAGCATTTGTCCACATCAATAACATACTTCTTGTAATGGCCAAAATTAAGCTGATTGAATATTTGCGCAGCACAAAACGGTACAAGGGTCTGAAAATCAGACTCTTTAATTAAACGAGCACGCTTGGAGGAGTGGAAGATTTGATGAGGATATAGAGAGTAAAATGATGAATTCAAAAAACAAAACATGGATGAGTAAGAAATGAGTTTGGGAAGAATGTAGGAAGGAAGTTTTAAGAAATGAGAAAGTGAGAGATAAAGAGAGAAAGAAAGTGAGAAAGAGAGAGAGAGAGAGAGAGAGAGGGAGAGGGAGAGAGAACAGTCGATGTTCAGGAAAGAAGAGACTGAGCAAGATCAAGGAATGAAGATCACAAAATTATGTACAGTGGCTCTGGCTTCCACAATGAATGAAAACTAAAGATGGACATATATCATATGATCATATCATTTGTTTTTGTTTTTTGTTGTTCTTGTTTTGAATGAGGCAGAATTTAAATGAGAATAGTGGAAACATTAGTTAGAACAATTGTTTTGTGTTATTTTCTTGATTATCTTGCTATCCGTATCTCTTTCTTTTGATGGGCTTTCCAATATAATCCATATCAGTCCCTTCAATTTCATAACACTAATAAGTTACCGATTTAAGCTACCTCTTGTGTGTTATCTGTCTACTGTCTAGCACCCTCATCTTACTTTTTTTATACTACAAACTATCGTCCTTAACTTCGTAGCGCATAATTAGCAAATAGGTTACCCATTTTCTGCTTTAATAGGATGAGTAATTGTACAGTGACCTATTAATGCAATTTCCTCATTCACCTGAAAGGTGCCTGGTGACGGTGAATGCTGCGATGACAATGGCAGGATTAGAAGGTTAAACCAAACCACAACATTCAACCCGAAAACCTTGACGCATTCCACAAAACAAAACAAACCAAAGCAACACCAATGATGAAATAAAATGCATGGAACTTGCGGTCAAAATGAAGCACGGATATCCGGGCCACTGGGCCTCTCTAGTAGAAGTCGGTCCACTCTTTTGCTCTGTAACCTGCCAGAATATTGCTTGTTTCATACCAGTGTACTACAGACGTGAAACTGTTCAGTGTGAACAGGGTTATGGGTACAGTACATCATAACGCAAGTACATGTACCTCTCCAGACTAAATAGTAATTAGATCAATTTATATATCGCAGCTACTATACAAATATATACTCAACTGTGCTGTGATGAAAAACAAAACTTCCAATAGTGCTAGTACTTTACATATACACAAGAAAAAATATTTAATTTTCTTTTTTTAAAGAACTTACCAGCAAAAAAAATTGTACTTCACATCAGTCGCGTTACTCTAATAAATAAGTAAATGTGAATAGGGTGTTCAGAGTAGTAAAAGTGATGTTACTTCTGTTAAATATGGAATTCTGCTGTTTGTATCATTGAAGTACATCAATTATGTATCGGGATGCTGTTGTTGTTGTTTATGATAATGATGGTACATGTAGCTGAAAGTACAAAAGATACGGTATTATAATGAAAAGACAAGTTGAGAGACAGAAAGAAACAGAGAGAGAGAGAGAGAAAGAGAGAGGGGAGGGGGAGGGTATTTAAAAGAGAAAAACCAGTAGTCGCATCTCAGTCACACAACCCAAGGAGCTTGCGCACACAGATGTACCGTTGTATTGGTTACTATCCTCATAACATTACAAAATGTGTAAAATCTCATCATATTGTTTTAAACAATATTCATAACAATTTACACTCCCATCATTTATATGAATTATCAATTACCATCATACAATACACACATATATACCTTCATGCATGCATTGTGGGTGTAACTGATATGTACACTGGTACATGTATATAGCAAAGTTTGAAATTGCGTCACATATATTAATTGAATGTAGATTTTATCACAAACCTGTCAATCGTCATGGGGTTTGATTGATAAGAAATCTCGTAATAGGATTTGCATTGCAAATGCCAGCAAACGCCATCAGCAAATGCACATAGACAAAGCCATTCATCAAATAATTCTTGTTTATTTGTACACTTGACACTAGTAGTAGTAGGCCTATAATATAAATAGAAATGTGCATATTGTATGGGGAATAATTACAGCCTATTGTGTAAGTTGTGTATGTTCTTGTACAAATTCAGAAAAATTATTCAGAAAAAGAAAATGTGTAGGCCTGGATGATAGATGATAGAATGATAAAGTATAATTATTTAATGGTAATTGTATGAGCACACCAGAAAAATCCTGCCTAGAGAGAGAGAGAGAGAGAGAGAGAGACATGTTGCAGAAGGAAGATAGAATAGTTCACAGCACTATGATCTGCATTTTCCCCGTGATAATTTAGCAGGTCTCAGTTTTCTTTTGATCCAGCTTGTATTTCCAACTTATTTGAGAATATATAGTAGGCCTGCAAGTACAAATAACAAGAGAAATAGAAAAAAGATGAAGAAAAAACAAACATTGAAAATAGAATTGCTGCAAAACCTATCAGCCCATCTAAATCAGATTATCTGAAGATGTGCATGCTTGCTGCCAATGGTTCATTTGTAGATCTCAACGTCACCTAAATTATTCCAACTACATGTACATTCCTGATAACATTGGATAAGACAAGATAAAACTCTTTACCCACAGCTCCAATATTTATCTTGGGACTTTTAACAGCTCGTTGGCAATGGAGTATTGAGTGATTTAATTGAGCAATTAGCCTCCATACGCCCAATGGTGACAGAACAGTTCGCTATCTAATTATTGCTCACAAATTGGATGGAGCGTGGCAGTATTTACTCCCTTCAGAGGTCACAAGGTTATAGCGTCCATATGAACATGGGATATCAGTTACTTGGTTAATAGAAAAGCTCTGGATGTACCTGTATTGAAAACACAATCTTGTTTATAGTGCCATGTATACAGGTCAAAGCAACACATGAAATCTTGAGTTTGAATGATGGTACTGCATCTCATTCAGGTGTTCTAATCATTCCATACAAAAGTCACTTCCAAATCCTACAAGAGTATTAACTCTTTGCTCGCTGGGGATTGAAAAACAAGACTGCAACATCGTTTTGAACCACCATGGTCCATAAACATCATTATGGGACAAAAGTCATTGTAGCAGTCCACAGCTTTGTTCTGTTAGTTTACCAAAGCGAACAAAAAAGTTGAGAGGATTAAAAGATTTATGTCAATACTGGATAGCTTTTATTATTGGATCAGTTGGATGAGTCACTTTTGATGAGTTTTGATTTTGAAGACAACCCTTTCACAACTGCCCTACTCTCACTTCACACTTGTTACTTCCTTGTTGATAATCATACAGGTTAATGCCTATAAATAACAATCTTTAAAGAGAAGGTTGAGTTCTGGGAAGAGGTGAAAAATAATTTGTGAGCATTACTCATTCTTATTATGCAAGTGTGGAAGAACATCAGTTAAGACATGTTCCCTGAAAAGCATGGCTCTTCAAATGCCTTTATATTCTAAATATGCATGTAACAAGGTAAAAATCGGGGATTGTAGATGGAAAGATTTTCTCTTGAAAAACACGAAGAATTTGCTGAAAAATCATATAGATATCATGGACAGGTGTAAAATGCAATTTTGTGGCTAGCTGTGATGAATGATGAATGATGATCGGATGAAGAATTGTACTGATCGGATGAAGAATTGTACTGATCGGTTGGGCATTTCTGAGTACATCTGGGAGACCTGATGGATTCCTCTTCTTCTTCTGTGAATAATCTTAAGAGGGTTATGAAGCTTATCAAGAAAATGACTGAAAGATTGCAAACGATGTGAGGGAGATTAATGCAATTTAATCAGATAAATGCATTTTAATCCTCAGGAGAGGTCCCTGTGAGTGCTTTGCATTGAAATTCATACTACAGAGTGAAGAAGAAAAAAAAAAACGGAGTTGGGGGGGGGGGGGGGGGGGTGGGGGGGAATAGAGCTGTTAATTTTTTAACCCCTCCCTCTTCTGATGAAAGTCCCAGATCCACCCCTAGACGAAGAAGACCAGTGATGAATCATTATGCCCTGGTCACCTCAAGTACACGTTGAACCATATTATCTTTGCCTAGAACCAAGCCATGTATTCACTTCAGGTCAGTAGTGATTAGAGAAGGAAGTAAACAATAGAATACACATGCATTCTTTGTAACTTGTTAATTTTGGAGGAAGAACCCTACTTTCCTGTAAAGCCAGCCACCGGCCTTCACAGGGTTGATGTGCACTATCAGTTTGAACCATCTTCTTCTATAGATGCATGTAGACTGACAGCCTCTACCAGCAAGATTTTAAAGTGGTATGCTATTTGTTGTATGATATTTGTGACATTATATTTGTGGTATGTTATTTGTGGTATGATATTTAGGAGTATGTATTGAGCAGACGTTGTTTTTCAATGTTTATGTGAGGACTTTCATCTCTATTGTCTACAATTTCTTATGAACCGGGTATATTTCCCTGTGTAAATGCTCATGATGGTATATTTATGGAATGATATTCCATGATGATGAATGATGATGATGATGATGATAATAATGATAATGATAATGATACTTTTAACTACTACTACTACTACTACTACTACTACTACTACTACTACTACCATACTACTACTACTTCTACTACTACTACTACTACTACTACTACTACTACTACTACTACTACTATTACTGCTGCTACTACTACTACAACTACTATTACTACTACTACTACTACTAGTACTACCACTACTACTACTACTACATGTACTACTACAAATATTACTTCTACTATAAAGTAATACTACTACTAACAAACATTATAATAATGATAAAACATGTACCGGTAATTACAGGAATAATGATGACAGTATTTAATGATTATTATAGTATTGATAAAAAGTAATAATAGCAGTAATAGTCAATACTTGTGTAAGGCCATTGTAAAATATAATGGTATTTTTGAAGGTAAAGACCAGTTATGGTCATGCGATTGCATTGTGAAAGAAACGTTGTGGAATCGATCAGAAAAGGTTAATCATCTAGCATCTAGCATCTGCAAGGTTCTGGAATCATCAAAATGATAAGAAATTTGGCCCATTCTTCGTAAAGTTACAAGCACTATACACAGAAAGATGTATATGGGACTACCCTATATCTCTCACAGACCATGAGAGAAACAAATTTACCAAATATATAAATTAGTAGGCGGTTTCCAGGCAAATTTTTTATCATCATGTATTATTCAAAACATATTCTTTCACATGATTGGTAATGAGAGCTTCCATTTCATTTTTTGAAACTGGGGCGTTTCCAATACTGGTCTTTACCTTTAAATATTTTGCAAGCAGAAAGACAGGAATTTGTGTATCGATCAGCAATGCAATTTTAGACAGTACATCACATTATGCTTCTAGAAAATAGAAATCAATATTCTCTTCATCAAAGCATATCAATCAATCTTTCTTTCCAGAACCCCATGAACATATTTTAGGCATATCTTTGTCTTTCATTTGATAGTACATTAGTTTGATCAAGCACCGGTAGACATTTTATGATACACTGTTACATCTTTTCAGATTTTTAAAAAAACAATGTGTGCTATTTAAGCAACTGAAGTTTTCATATTTTCTGTTTACTTTAAAGGGTTAATTTGTTTAAATTATGCAATAATTCTGACTTATAAAGTTCTTGTGTGCAACTGTGCATGCTTCTTTCGCTTCTTATGTCATTCATAACAAAATATATATCAACATGAAATATGTATTAGCATGAACAATGTAGTTCTTAATTAAATTGCAAGCATCTGACCAGTCTAGTTTCTGTTCCACTTTCATCCTTAAAAATTAAGGGATAAAATGAATTAACACCATGTATAAGGTTAAACAAATTAATTAATTTAATGCTCAAAATATGATGTCAAATAATTGATTAAACACAAAGCTGAGTTGAGTGTTAGTTTCTGCTTGTATTTTGTTCGCACCTACAGTGTATGAACATTTAGGCCTATTTGTACAGGGTGGGCACATATATACAGCTTAATCACATTTGAAGTGAAGTGTATATGTATTTGTAATTAGTAGTCCAGCTTGTAGCTACATGTACATGTAGGCTAGAAAATGTTTAATATATTGAAGACAAAGTCCATGAACTACCTGAATACAGAAATTATTGCATGCATGGTTCTCACATATTTGAGGTCTTTGGTAATTTATGAATGACTTGTGGCCTTCGACCCACAAAATTAGCAGAGAGTGACTGATTCTACACAAAGATCAATGCAGCGAGGCGTGCTAATATCTCTTTCAGTCAGCACCTTTGTGCTGTGAAAACTGCAAAAGGAGTCGTATTTCATATTTGAATAGTGGAAGAGTATACACAAAATGTGTCAGAGGTAGCTTGTTATGTCAGCCCTATCAAATAGCTAGATCCTCCCAGTGAATGGATCGAGGCTTTATCATTTTGTCGCTCAAGTGAGTATAATTTTAATAATTTTGGCTTTTGCTCTTTGGTACATTTGACAAATCACTGAATTTGATCTATTCCAAGAACTTACAATTTTAACAATTTCGGATTTTGCTCTTTGGTACATTTGACAAATCACTGAATTCCAAGAAAACTTTTAACAATTTCGGCTTCTACTCTTTGGTACATTTAACAAATCACAGAATTTGATCTATTCCAAGAACATACAACTTTAAACAATTTCGGCTTTTACTCTTTGGTAAATTTGACAAATCACTGAATATGATCTATTCCAAGAACTAGTGCATCACATCAATTGACAAAAGCTTACAGGATAAACTTACAACGTGAACTTGTGTATGAAGTCTTCTCATCTCTTTGTATATTTCATGCAATTTTCCCTTACTGAACACGGCACAGACGTCATCTAATCTCTTACATGTACATTTGTGTAGTGCAAACAGTCATTTTGAAGTTCTGGTATGTTTGCTTTTGTTATTTGTTCAGCAGGTTAGTTTTACTTTTCATTTACAAAATGCTATTTGTAGAACATTGTACTTTGTTTCATGCCAGCACACATTTGGCATAATAGAAACAGATACATGTTTCCTTATCAGCCTGTGGTTTTGTTTATCATTGCTTTTCTACCACTAAGGAATACAGTATTTAGTATTCAGTAGTAGTAAATATTTACAGAATATGTTTCAATGCGTAACCACCCCCCCCCCCCCCCCCCTTTCCATGATTTGAAGATGACTGATGTATTTTGATTTTGTTGCTGGTAGTAATAAATGATACCATAATCATACACCACAGATTTATGATGCTGGCATTAAAGAATTCTTGAAAACCCGCAATCACACAGCAATGACAGCATCCATTAAAAATATGATGGTACCGGCAGACCTGTCAATACCAGAAAGGATCAATCTCACAGACCATTACCCTTTGTTGGTTCACAAGACTAAAGGCTCTTTAAGACCGATATATGCTTTTCTTGATCCTTAAATATAATCAGAAGTTCCATGAGAATGAAATAAAGTAAAATAGACCTTCAGTCAAGTGAGTAATGTTCTCCTATGTATTGTCTATGTTCTATACAGTATGAGTATCATGTACATGTATTGTACTTTGAAACATATATCACACAGATGGACATTATGTATGTTTAAAATATGTATGTTTGAAATATGATATAAAAATCAATCAATCAATCGATCAATAGAGATGTCTCTGATAGTACATCAATGTTATTTGCCTGAACTACTGGTGCAAGATATTGTTCATGAAAATGTACAAAAGGTGGTGAGTTTAAAGGTAAAGACCAGTTATGGTCATGTGATTGCATTGTGAAAGAAATGTTGTGGAATCGATCAGAAAAGGTTGATCATCTAGCATCTAGCATCTGCAAGGTTCTGGAATCATCAAAATGATAAGAAATTTGGCCCATTCTTCGTAAAGTTACAAGCACTATACACAGACAGAAAGATATATATGGGACTACCCTATATCTCTCACAGACCATGAGAGAAACAAATTTACCAAATATATGAATTAGTAGGCGGTTTCCCGGCAAATTTTTTATCATCATGTATTAGTCAAAACATATTCTTTCACATGATTGGTAATGAGAGCTTCCATTTAATTTTTTGAAATTGGGGCATTTCCAATACTGGTCTTTACCTTTAAGATTTTTATCTGATATCATCACCTGCTTTAACAAAAATGTTAAGCAACAAATGTGTGAGAGCCAGATAAATGTTTCATGTAACTGTATACAAAGTGATGCAAGCTAATGCCTTCATGAATTTTTCAACATTCAATATCCACAAGGCAAAGACATTTTGGATGCATACTGATATCCTGCATGACTTTGGCATGTTTGTGAAGGCATTCCCATCCATTCAAAAGTGCTTTCACACAGTCAGGGGTATACATGTACATACTTAGAGTCAGTGTGTTCAGACACACACACAAATTATAAGGTTTTTACTGGCTTCAGAAAATGGCTTTTTAATTACGTAGAAACGTTTATCATCAGCGATTAAGCTAAATTTGTTTCATAGAATAATGAAGCTTACAATGTATGTGTGACGGTCTAACCTTGGGCTCTAGCTGTAATGAGGTGGAGTGTAAATGAATTTTTATTTTTAATCATCCCTATTTAGATAAATTGCACAAACTTGTCAATCAAATTTGACTAATATGCGCTATTAACCTCCGCATTGCAAAATGAAAGAGCTTAAAGAGTAAAAGTGATTTCTCATCAATATAGTATGATGGCTACACTGATCTCAATTTTGCTTGTGTGAACGGTGTTTTGTGTACCTCGTTCCATCACAACTCATGAATGTACAGTATGGAATGCAGTAGGAATGCTGCGTCCTCTGCTCCAAACTCTTCATGCATCTTGTCAAACTGAACATTCTTAAAGGTTGTAGACATGTGCAGGTCATGGGTCAATTCTCACCGTTGTGTATGGGCTAAAAATACCAGTATTGGCTATTATAAGAGCCAGAAGGGTGTTAACTTGATTAAACTATTAAATGTACTTGGACACAGAGTTAACGCCCTTAGATCTAGCTAAACAGATGATATCTGACTCTCACTTCAAAACGCAACATAATGCCCCAAACAAAGTTTTGATAAATTGTCTTTTCCACTGATAGCCCAAGATGGGAATGGGAATTGAAAAGAGCGCCAGGCATGTAGGAGGTACCCATTATAACACTTGGGTGGAGGCAGAGGGTTGCAAATGTGGATTAATTTCTTTCCAAAGAACATTATCAATGCTGGGCCAGCTAGTATTCAAACCCTCAACCTTTTGATTTAAAGTCTTGAAAGTGAATCAGCCTCTCTACTATGACACCTCTACAGCTTTATTATTTTCAAAATCAAATGTAGCCAAGTTCAAGTTCAAATTTTATTTCCACATTCCATTACAAACATATCATTATACAAGAACATAAATAATATGAACAGTAGCATATGTATATATAAACAACATATTACAGTAAAGCAAAAATATGGAAGGGAACCGTATAGGCCATTGGCCTTTAGAGGCAGAGCCCTAACAAATATATAAATTAGACAATATGTACTACAAGCACAGAATATAAAATAATAAATCAACAAAATAAAGTCAAACAGAATATAAATGAACACCCTAATAGTGAGTGCAACACATTTTATAACAAGGAAAAATAATAATAGGCAATTCTATAGCGCCACATACATGGGTGTATCTAGAAATTATATTCGGAGGCGCACTAATTATTACCCGGCTTTAGCCTAGCTGCCAAGCCTGCCATTAAAGCGCTCTAGCATTTCAAGGAATTAATTCCTGCCAAGTACCCATATATGAATAAGTTAATCAATAGTCATGACAGTAGGATCTAATAATATATAATATATATGTCAGATACTTTTAGAATGTTAAGTTTTTGAAAAAGAGAATCTTTCGAGGCTAAAAAAGAGAGTTTGTAATAGCATGTATTGCATGTTTTTGTAATAAAATAAGTCTGTTCACTAACCAGTGAATCACTCATTCTATGATAGCATACTATTCTCTACATGTACTCGTATCTTGCCCATAAGAAACATGTGCTTGTTCTTGTACAAGAACTTTAGACGGCTGCCGTACTTCACCTCAAAGTTCAGTGACTCAGAAAGCACATGTTTCCCCCACAAATTCCCGGCAAGCTTAGCTGGATATCCAGTAGATCAAGGTTGGATTTGTGGGTAACTCCTACTCATCTTCATTACTGTGCTACCTCATACTTGCTCTCCCTCCCCTCTCCCCTTCCCCCTCCTTCCTCCCTAGCCTGCCCTGGACATTGAGGTCAAGGGTCATCCAGGGACCTATTACATGTTAATAGGTGTCAGCTAGGTGCTGTGAAGAGAGCAGAATGATTTACAAATGCACTGTTTGAAATGTGTCATGTGTATGGTTTACTTGTGTGTTTAGTTGGGTGATTCTGATTTCTGGTTAGTTTACATACCAGTACATGTTTGTACATGTTATATAGTATGAGTTTTCAACCACAGTAATGTTCAATTTTGTTCTATATACCTACAATTAACTTTAGAGCTTTAAAAATTGTCAAAAACTGTAGATCCTGCAGGTGTACAGTACATACCATATATTATTAGGTAATTTGCTCTTATATTTTAGTAATTCAATCCATATATATTCAAATAATTTCCATGAAGTGCTAACCTTTCTTTATTCTATTCTTATACTTCCAGGACACCATAGTGCCTTCAAACTCAATCAGCATCATCATCACCTTGACATTTGACTTTTGACCTCTGACCGCTCACTCACCCACTCACCAACATCCACCATGTCCAAGGTTGACCCAGCATTCTCTGGGGTAGGCAAGAAAGAAGGGCTCAAGATCTGGCGGATTGAGAACCTCAAGGTGGTTGCGATACCGGACAAGTCTTACGGACAGTTCCACAAGGGAGACTCCTACATCTGCTTGAAGGTATGCCATGTTGTCTGTTTAGAGCCCGATGGACATTAATTCATATAATTTTACTCAAGATTTAACATCCTTCTGGGCCCGTCTTATTATTTGCGACTGATCAATCACAACTATGTACATAAGAGATAGGAGACTGCAAACTTGCGATTGATTGGAGGACTTGCGATTGATTTGAATCAATTGTAGCTCTTTGAAAAACGGGGCCCTGGCATCAAAGATGTAATGATGCGCATCCCTTGTCTGTTGAAAATGCAAATTGAACCTCCTACATGTATATAGCAACTGTAATCCCCTCCCCACCCCCCCCCCCCCCCCCCCCCTCATGGGAAGCGTTCATTTTTAAAGGGGAAGTCCACTCTGGCATGAAATTGGCTTTTATCAGTTACATGTATAGATGCATAAAATGAGAGTCCATGCATGAAGCAGGTCATGTGAATGTTTTAGGAAAATATGATAAATGATATCAAAGATGTGAAATTTTGAAGTTGTTACTGAGCAAATACAAATTGCCAACTCTGTGATTTTCCTTTCGAAGACCCCTTTCATTAGAAAAATAATAAATGTCAATTTCCTCTGAAGAATTCTTGTATAGTGTCTAAGAAATTAATCTTCTGTTTTTACACACTCCCTCTTGAAATAGATTCACATTTGCTTTTTTTCAATTTATAATCTCTTTACCCTTTATCAGAC